CCCTTCATGCTCGATGGAGGCCTGTGGCCACGGGCTTCTGTGTGCAAGTGGGATGAAGCATGGGACGGCTGGTGGTAACGACGTCGCTCTCATTTCAGTCTGTAGGCGTGCTCCCTACTGGGAAAAATTCCTTTTAAAGTACTTTAAAAATTTGTTATGTGTTTTGAAGTCTACAGAGCATCACAGTCTGTATAAAGGGAAATTTAGAAGCTGAAAATCCTTCATAGAACCAACAGGTGGATAGCACCTGGAGAGAAGTTGCCTTCACATTTATCTCTACCATGTGTGTCTGTCTCCCACTCTTCTCAGCCCAAGTGGATGTGTATTTGTATGCATGTAAAGGTTCTGCATAATGTCATGTTTGCCAAGCAAAGGATGAGGTCCTACTTTTCAGAGGTAGTTGTGAAAGTTGCAGCTTTTTTGGGAAGGTTGGTTTCTAATGTTGTTAATCAAGTTTGATTTTTCTTTTTTGGGTTATATATATAAATATATATGGATGTATATTGTCAATAAATAGCTCTTGTAGTAAGTTTTGGTACATGTCCCTGATACCTTGTGTAAATTCCAACTTTGTCACACTATGGTTGCTGTACAAGGTAGTAATTTACAGGGCCAACCCCACAATGGTACAGCTGCATCAACTTACATCTGTTCTTGGTTGAGATAAATAGCATTTGCATGGTGGATATACATGGCTGTAGAGATCAGGTAGAATAGGGAGAAGACTAGCGAATATACTGAATCCTTTGACCATTATGCTTTAGTAAAGGAAAAATCAGTCTGCTTTTTAGAGTCTTTGTTAAGATAAAAGTGTTGTAAAAATGTGTGTAATATATCTGGACTTGGACTTGTAAGCTGTATTATATGTATAGAGTAGGGAGAGTGTTGTTTATTTTCTAATTGCTACGGATATCATAAGCAGGAATGCTAAAGTAGTTACAGTGATGTAAATGTTCATTGCAGGAAATATGTATAGAAGCAGGTAGGAAGAAGGCATCACGCTGACATCCTATCCCAGAAAATTTATTTTGTACTTATTCTTGGGACAGTAAAACTTGGTTTCGCTGGAAACTACTGAGAAGTCTTTGATGTACACTGGCCTGCATAAACCATATGGGCATGACATCCTGGAAGAGAACCTAATACACACTGTCCCAGTTACAGCTGTTCATGAAACACAGAAGCAGTATTAGATACCAGAATTTCTGGTTCTTAGTCTTGGTCTGTAATAAGTGCATTGTCTATTGGTCAGAGCACTGATCAGCTAAACTAGCCAAATGCTTAGATTTTACATATTTATTCTGAAATATTACAAATGGAAATAGGGAAGCTGGTTTTATTCCTATGATTATGTGATTTACACAATATCTCTATTTTTGCTTTGGAGTGGAAAGGATATGCTAGTTGCCTGCAATTTAGGATAAATCTATGGGGTCATGATGAGTAATAATGGCTGTGAACAATACTTACCTGAAGAAATGTGACCAGAACCCAGGATCACTTGGCTACCATTTGAGGCTGAAGAACAGTCTGTGACAAAGACACCTGCTTTGCTCTACCACTGGCACAGGGAGGGATTGACAAGACTGGACAAAACTTGAATATCAGGTCAAATAGTGAACACTTGGTAGGTTTGGATATATGTTTTGGGTTTTTTTCCAGACACAAAATACAAAACCACAATAGGATACATAAAAACATAAGACAAGAGGTAATGGTTTTAAACTGAAAGAGTGTAGATTTAGATTGGACATAAGGAAGAAATCTTTTATGATGAGTGTGGAACAGGTTACCCAGAAAGGAGGTAGACGCCCTATCCTGGAAGCATTTAAGGCCAGGTCAGAGGGAGCGTTGAGCAACCTCATCTAGTTGAAGATGTCCCTGCTTATTGTGGGGGTGTTGGACTAGATGACCTTTAAAGGTCTCTTCCAACCCAAACCGTTGTATGATTCTGTAATGGCAAACCTCATAACATCCCATAAATAGCTTAAAGATCCTGAAATCTAAAAACTGATTTGTGCCATTTTGTTGTTCAGGAGTTTGTTGGACAGCTTGGGCTAGGTGTTCTCCATTTGTCTGCTCTTCTCAGAATAAAAGTGTGATCCTAAAATACATATATAATCAACTGTTTCTAAATTTGAGAAAAACCTCCTTATTCCCTGACAGAGCAAGAGTTGTCATTCCATCCTCATCTCTTCCCCTTAACAAGACCGGATATGCAGCTGCTCTATTCAAATGCTTGCTTTATTTTCCCCAACAATCTCCTCCTTCAATTCACTCTCCCTCATCCCCTGTTTCTCTTCATTTTCTCTCTACTTTTTATTCTTTATGCTTCCTTCTTTGCATTGGCAATTTCCACTATAAATCTCAGGTTGCCTTTTGCAGTTTTTTAATTTTTTAAACTATTGCTGCCCATGTCATGCCTTAACAGATTCTTCTTTGTTCCTTCCTACTGTCTCACTCTGTCCTTCCTTACCTTAACCTGGTAGTAGCTGCATTTGAGCTCAAAAAGAACTCTTCTGGGAACAGACTGCATTCACTAATGCGAAGTGAGCTCCCTTTCACCAGTGCAAAGTGAGGGAAAACGATTGCTGCTAATTCAGATTTAACTGAGTTCAGCCTCACTGATACTAACTGGAGATGGAAGCCATTTTGAATTAAACTGTGCATTTGAAGGCAAGTACAGATCTTAATGAAAATCACCAAAACAAATGTAAATTATTTAGGGCTTAAAGTTGAGCTCTAAATTTTGTTATCAGACTTATGTGAAAAAATCAACTTTTAAAATACTTGATAACAAACTTACACAAATTTAAGCTTAATAATGAAATTGACAAGCAATTACTGTAAGAATAGTATGGAGGTATATTAAATATTTATCTGACCATTTTGGCCAGGCCTGACAAAGAGGCTAAATAATGAAGGAGCAATACCTTAATACAGTTCCTCTCATCTGACAACATTAAGACTGTTGGAATTATTCACTGCGTTCAACAAAGCTAAGTAACCTAGCAGTATGAAAGCATTCTGTTTTGGCAAAACTGCATTTTAACTGCTGTGATAGCAATATGTAAAATTAAATTCCAGGATCAGTTAGGCATTGTTTATCTACTTGATTCCATCTTTAAAAAGACAAGGAACCCTTGACTAAGCTAGCACAAAACAAATCTAAACTGAGAAAGATGATTCTACAATAAAACTGGTTTTTTTCAGTAACATAATACTTCATTTTAACCTTCAAGCTAGTTGGAATATTTACTTTCCGGCAAGAAGACTAGCATGGCTTGCTAGTCATAGTAGGCTTAAATTGTTTCATAATGAATTTCATAAAATAAAAATACACTCAATACAATGTTAATTGAGTTAGCTAGGCTTACTTGGGCCTTTCTTACATTTGTTTCTTTGGAACTGGTCCAGGTCAAGTCATTCAGATACCAGATTGAATTAAGTGCTTGTGTTCTGATACAGCTGTTGTTACTATCCTTTAACTTCCAGTTACGAAGGAGCTGGTTAGTAGAAACAAAAAATGTTTTTCTTCTAGTGGCTAGTTGATCAAAACCTGTCTTTACACCCTAATTTTCTTTGTTTCTGGAGAGCTTCTCCATTTGTGAATATCATGATGAGAACTCTTCTTATCTTAGTAGTTGATCTACAAAGTGAAGCTGTCTCCTGGGAAGAACTGACAACAAGGGTGTGGTCCCTTCCACATGAATCCTCAAATCTTCTGAAAGGCAATAACCCAGAAGTAAATAGGGACATAAAGGAGGGGTATAGAACGCCTAGAACCAGCCCTGTACTAGCTGGAATATTTCAACAAATGAGGAATTTTCAACTGCTTTAAGAAAGCAGTTTTCCTGCCCTTAATGATTCAGAGTAGCACAAACAGGTTCAAGCAAGTGTTGAGAAACTCTTAATTACAGCATCGATTTAAGGCAGGCAGACCATACAGTCCAACATAAACAAACTGTAGAAAGCAAAGACATGTGTTTTAACAACCCATTTTCAACTTCACTAATTTATCTTTTCTCAGCTTTAGACATCTCTCACCCATAAAGCTATGCATATTTCATCCTTTGATAATTAGCTTGCAAGCTTATTAAACAGATAGTTTCACACTTCTGATTTCAACTATGTAATTTCCATACAAGTGTTAGTATTTGTTCCTGAATAATTAGTATTATGAATAAATAGCCAGAATAATTCATGGACCAGTGCAAGACAGAATACAAGTGCCAGTAAACAAAATTCTGAAAACTTTACCTGACCCACATTAGTTATCAAAATATTAATATCTTATAAGAGGAATGCATGTTAGGCTGTGTATGATGTGGAGGTCAGAGATATGTGGACAGTGGGTAGTGGAAGGGAGGTAGTTGAAATGGGGAACCACAGTGTACAGAGTAGGTGAAAGGTTAAATAGTAAAATTTGCACCTTCCCTTTTTTCTGAGTAGCTTATTTGGAATTTTCAGTGTATAAAAATAACTCAGTAATGAAAAGGTGGTAACCTGGAATTTGGAAACTATTCAAATAGTACAACTTTTTTTCCTGTGTGCTGATTTTGATTTGTTTTAAATTTTCATACTTGACCTATTTGTGTTTGAGTTTCAGAATATTTTTAGAAATTATGACAGGTTATTATTTAAATATTTTCTTCAGCTAAGCAACACGACACCATCTCCTTTGTAATAGCCGTATATTTTATAGCTGGTATGAGTTTATAATTAATTTTTTATACTGGAGGTTTGGAGTTTGGAAATACTGTAACTACTTATTTGTTTAGTGATTGGTTGTTCTGAGTAGGTAGCTATTAGTTCTGGGTTTATAAGTCAAAGTGTTAAAAGCTCTTATTTAGTTACTCACTTTCAGCTCAGTCTGACAGATATTTATTTTCTCAGATCTGATGATTCAGATTGCAGCAATTTTCCCTGGAAAGAAGGAGTGTGCACGTATGTTTTTTCCTTTTGAGCCCTCTTCCTTTCAGAATAGGGAGCAGTGAAATGCCATCTATAGATAAGACTTCAAACCCCATGATTCCTTGAGAGAGCATGCACTGAAAGCTTCCAGCTGTCAAAGTGCTCTTGCCAGAGTGTTCGACTACTTGTCATATACCAAACCTGAAAGAAGAAAATAAATATACTGTCACTTTGATCTTTAAATACAGAAAATCCAAAGGTAACTGTTCCTTAAAAATTTCTGTGTTGACTGCGTGGGTTACTGCATGCAAAGGGAGCTAGTATTGCTATGGGGATATAGATTTCCTGTACTGAATTGTAAATTTCTACAAATACTTACACCAGCAAATAATCAGGAGGTACTGCATATTAGTCCAACATTAGACATTGGCTGGCCTGTCTTTCAAAGTAGTTTATTACCCAGTGTTTTTCCATTCAGACTGGCTTCATTCATTAAAGGTATGTCTTGACCTTGACAAGAGGGTTGAATTGTGCAGTGATTTTTACCTTTAAGAAGCAATATGAAAATAGATGTGGATTACAGTCCTTAGGATAAAGTCCAAAACCAGCTAGCTAAGTCAAGGTACATATTTGAAGCAACTGCTGTGCTAGCCACTATAGATAACCTGGTGACTAACTGATTTAAATATACTTTATTGACGACAGAATTTTAACATTTCAGCTGCTATGTTTCTCTCTCTAAATATGTTTTTATACTGATAGTTTAGAACCAGAGGAGGGATAAATATAATCTTTTTCTCTCTTTGATGTGGAATCATCAGTAATTTTATGTAGCCTTAGGAGTAATAGTGATTTTGATAGAAATTAAGCTAATGGAAAGCTACACAAGGCTTGGTATGTTATGGCTACTGCAGTGTTGCTTTAAACTGCCTCACGAGGTTTTCTGCACTCCCAGCAGCAGAGCTGCCTGTTACCGATGCAATAGTTTACTCCTTTCGTCTTAGAAACTTGCCGTAATGTTGTCTTACTGCATAGTCTGTTGTGAACCCTTGCTGTTTGGTTCACATAGTGAACAGGTAAATAATAGGGAGCATGAGCAGTAACTTAATGATAGCAGAAACCTGTCCTGACGTTCATTTTGACTAAAAAGTGTGTGTATGACTCAGAAGAGATTTAAAAGAAAGAAAAAATAAAACATTTTAAAGATACACATGGACTATATGAAAGCTGCTGATGTCAGAAAGGAGAGGGTCATCAATTCCACTCTTTGCCACATTTCTTAAATAATTGATTTGGCTTAACTTTACTTCATTTCTTACATTAAAACAAACAGTCCTAAAAAGTGCAATGTTAGCAATGTGCATGTCATATGATTAACTCAATAGAAATGCAATTAAGTATTCAGTGATAACCATCTTTAACACAGTTACTCAAAGTGACTTTTGGCTCATTTAAAATACTTTAGATATTTAGACTGATCTCCTCAATTGACTAAAATTCTGCAAAATGTGGAGGTTCCTGTTCTAGTTTCATACAATTGCTGTTCACTGATGTCAGTATGTCAATTAGTACTATTGTTTCAAAATAATAATCAAATTATATAATCTGTTCTATATTGTATGAAGCACCTTTTCTAGCAGATGACTCAACCATTCTACACATTTACTTTTTAAACTTATATATTGATTTAGCAAATAATTTGCAACACTAGTCTGTCTTGTGCATCTAAAGATGGCTTTAAAATGTGGCATGTCTATATTTTAAGTATTTCAATTTGCCCCATTTTTATTTTTCATTGTGAAAGCATCAGAAACATGGTCTAATAATACCTCACAGATCTGCTCATTTTGGCTGATTTTTTCCAATGAACGAATTACTGATGATTCCATCTATATAGCAAGTAGAAATACCTTTAAGCAAAGGACTGTTTTGGTGTAAAATGGCATTTTACACGGAAAGATCCTAAGGTCGCTGGAGACAAATATAACGCCCATCGGTGGCTTTGTACATGAAGTGTCTCCACACACCCCC